CTCTCTCTCTCTCTCTCTCTCTCTCTCTCTCTCTCTCTGATAAAATCCTGAACTCTAATGTGTCAAATGTCTGTGTTGTGGATCTCAGGGGGATGTTGGTCCAGCGGGACTCAGGGGCAGTCCGGCCGTTCAGTTTAACGCGCCAGCAATAAGCACTATCAACAAAGGAGAGAAGGTAACACACAGGGAAGCGGTGATGCCAACCCAGGGAGAGGCACTGCCAGGGTGAGAGGGTGTGGATGGTGGGGGAGAGAGGAGCATTAGAGGGCACTGAGCCACATCATCACTCCAGGGAAAATGGTCTGGAACATTCTGACAGTTTATTAATTGGGACTGACATTTGTAAACACCTTTATTATGAGAATGTTTTCTGAATACACATCATAGAAACCCTGACAGTTAATAGAGGGGGGATGGTTAGTTGCATAATGATTGAATGGGGAGAGATAACGGCACATCTATTGTGTTAAATATGTGGTTCATTACCAAAGCTCCTTCATCTCCTCCTCACCCTGATCTCCCTGCTGCTCCAGCAGTGGCCACAGTCCTTTTAACGTCCTTCTTGAAAATGCAAAAAACTTACCACATGCCACCTCTTCAACATGCTCCGCCGCTACCGTCTCCAAACAGCCTCCCCATCACACCTCATCTTGTCCCATATAAAAAAAAATCTCTCTTCCTTGGTTACCATGTCCAGGGAGATGTGGGCTCGCCCGGTGACCCAGGCCGCCCACTGGTCAATGGAGTGGTGGAGCTTGTTGGCTTTCCAAAAGGAGACAAGGGAACTAAGGTTTGTGAGGAAAATGCAGCTGTGAGGATCTAAACCTAGGATGAAGTCAATCGACACCGTCCTCCTCAAAATCTTTTCTACAGTTTATTTGTCCCCTTGTACCCCAGACCTGCTATCCAGGAGGGTGACATCCACTTTGTGCTTGATGTATACATGCCATACTTCACCCTGTGGTGAACATTGAGGCTGGTGTCCGTAAAGTCTTCATATTTGTTGGTGATTTCATTCACATGTTCCAAAAATGCTTAAATTATGTGTGCATATTTACAGTGGCCCTAAAGGGACACTTCAGCAATGCTTACAAATGTATAAATATCACTAATCATCTAATGTAGATAATGGTAGATAATATCTTGTTTTAATACAAAGTAATACATTGGTGTGAAAGTTGTTGGTTCAAGTGTTAAATTAGTTTTTTGAAACGGTATACTTCCATTTAATGATTTACACTATTACGATTTTTTTTTTATAAATACTTTTATTCAGCAAGGATGAATTATTCGATCTCAAATGACAACAATGACATTTATAATGTTACAAAAGATTTCTATTTCAAACAATTTCTGTTCTTTTGAATGTTCTGTTCATCAAACAATCCTGAAAAGATTATCACAGTTTCCACAAAGCAGAATTTTAATTAATAGTATGTTAAGCTGCTCAACTGTTTTCTGCATTCATAACGATACAAAATGTTTCTTAAGCACCAAACAAAATAGAAAGCAGTTATTTGGTATAATACTGTATGTCACAGTACGGGTTTTATTGTATTTTCGAACAAATAAATGCAAAAACTGCATAAGCATAAGAGACTTTAAAAAAAAATAAAAAATCTCACCGAACTTAAAGTTTTGAAACTTTAAAGTTTTTTTTTTATTATAATGTAGGTGTTAAAATGTAAGATTCTTGTTTGTTTCATTTGGAGCCCAAATCACAACACAGGACGTTCAACTGAATTGAAATATGTAGATTTCACGCATAGATGTGTGGACAACAATAAATTGCTGCATATTGTATTAAATATTGTGTAATATTTCTTCACCATAGAAATATCAGTATCATTGAATTTTCGTCTTTTCTGCATTCACAGTACATATTCTTCACATACTGATTAACATTTATATGCCATTTTTTACAATAAAATATGGAGAAAAAATGTTTAAAGTTTAAATACCTTCAAAGCTCAGTTGATTTTCAGGTGTAAAATCTACTTAATCCCCAGCCCAGTCACAATAGTTTTTTGTTTTTTTTAACACAAAGTGACATTATGAATTCTCAGTGTTCTTCCTTCTCTTTCTCTCTCTCTTTCTTCCTCAGGGTGATAAAGGCTATGATGGTACTCCAGGTTTTCCAGGGAGATCAGGACCACCAGTGAGTAATCAAAGACAGCTTGTTACCCCAATTCATGTTTAATATGTTGTTTGAAACTGACATTCACATTTGTTCATTTCTTATGCATATATAGGGCCCATTTGGGTATAGAGGTGAAACTGGAGAAAAGGGAATCCTGGGCTTGCCAGGCTTACGGGTAGGGTATGTTACGGCTACATTTTGTGATTCACCATAGGGTACAACATTTCAGAAGATTTTACACATCTTCTTTTGTTTGTTTATACTGTATTGGAAAATTAAGTATACATTTTACATTTATATTTTATTAGTTTCAAATCAAAATTGAATTTCTTCTTCTGTATTGTTCGACATGGCAGGGTCCACCTGCTCTGAACGGTTCTCCTGGCCTTCCTGGGATAAAAGTAAGATATGAAACGCTTTACTTTAAACAGTTTTCCTCTTATATTTTCATTAGATACCAACCATCTTCTGTCTCCTCTGTAGGGCTTCCCTGGGACTCAGGGTTTTCTGGGACAACCAGGTTTTTCTGGCCCAAAAGTAAGAACAGAGAACAGGAAAAACACAAATATATATTTCAAAACAGAAATATGTTACACAATAGCATATTGTACTGTAAATATATTTTTAGGGTGACAGGGGAGACCCAGGTCCACCTGGGCCGATTGTGGAATCAGATGTTGGAATTAAAGGTATCAAGAATCACCATTATTTCATTCATAGAGGTTGCATTCATTTTTGCGAAATTTTTTATTTTTATACACTTTCGTGATCTTATATATGGTAATTGCTTCTTCTAATCTCTCATGCACATGGTCACTCGTATGTTTGCTGATGTGCAGTCTTCAGAGATTGTTCAATTTACTTGTACCTAGGTCCTCCAGGTGATCCTGGCTTTCCTGGTTATCCGGGGATAGCTGGAGATACGGGTTTTCCAGGGCTTCCTGGTCAGCCTGGTTCTCCTGGATCGCCTGCTTTTCTCACAGGTACTAGTGGAAAAACTTTTGCATTTTAAGGCTTTATGGCTCAAATCATACAGCTTGTTGAAGAGTGTGATCTACAGTATTACTTTAGTAACAAGAAGCCATGGTCAACACATTAGACCGGAGAGCACATGGTACATAGAAACAAATATGACAGAATCTATGTCCTCCCCTCAAAAATGGCTCTTGGTTTTCTATTCAGGTCTTCCAGGCATCCCTGGGTTCCCTGGTAGTCGTGGACCCAAAGGACAGAGGGGAAACCGAGGTCGGAATTCTTATGGTCCTGAAGGTCTTCCTGGAAATCAGGGCCTTTCTGGACCTCCAGGTCTCCCTGGGCCACCGGGCAGTACACGTAAGCCTTTGCAGAAGATGATTTCATGAAACTTTGAAGAATTTGACAAATTAGATCCCACCAAGAAAGTAATTTTTGTGGGTCACATCAAACAGAAGTAGATCCTTGGGGTAGCAGATGCAGGTTGCCACTTTTCTTATTTAATCTTTCTATCTAGCAAACCAGTGCTCCGCTGGACAACCTGGTTTTCCAGGTCAGCCTGGTCCGAGAGGACTTCCTGGAGACAGAGGCTTTAAAGGGTTTAAAGGTAAGGCACTTTGTTGTAGAACTGAAAGGAGAAGTATATGGTTTAATTTAGACAATTATGTTGAATGGCACTCTTAGACTTCTTTCTTACTTGACTCTGTGCCCTTGCAGGAGAAAATGGTGACTGCAACTGTTTGGGTGGAGGAACGATTGGTGCACAGGGACCTCAAGGGCCTCCAGGGCCCCTGGGTATTACAGGCCTCAATGGTGCGAAGGGAGAAATTGGTGATCCAGGCTTCCCAGGACCCCGAGGTCCACAGGGCTTTAATGTAAGATATTAATTATTAAAACATTAGCTTGGATCAATTGGGCTAATGCCTTGATGTTTTTTGGGGGGTACTGAATGATGTTACATGGAGATGTAGCAACTTGGTAGTGAGAGTGGAGCAATATAAATCACAAAAGTTCACTGCCAAGGTTAAAGGTTTTGTTGTTTCTTTAGAAGTCAGGTGCAATGCATTGAATACCATATTGTCTTATTGATCCTTGAGAAACATTGGGATCATCAGGTAACTTCCGAAATTGTTTAAAATTATAGGTCTTGCTTTGCCTTTTGTTTTAGGGTCGTGCAGGTGATAGAGGCTTTAGAGGGCGTAAAGGAGAGAAAGGTAATACTTTCTTCCCAGAAGGCAGTATCCAAAAAGGTGATATGGGTCAACAAGGTCCTCCTGGACCACTTGGAGCAAGCGGCGACTCCGGAAGGGATGGATCTCCTGGCTTCCCTGGACAACCAGGCCCACCTGTGAGTAATTTTTCCTTTTCCTAATTTTCCTTTTTCTTACTGTCATTTCATTTTATCAGCTCTGTAGTTACTGCCAAAGAAGACGTGTGGTTCTTATTGCTTGTAGTCATTCTGATTCTGGCTTTCAACCAGTGAGATCTTTAAATTTCTAAGTTCTTTCTATCAGGGGGAGCCTGGTTTTGGGGTGACTGGAGATAAAGGTTTTCCTGGTATTCCAGGGTCCAAAGGTCGTCCTGGTGACAGGGGCGAACCTGGTTTTGGCTATCCTGGTGTAGCTGGGTTCAAAGGGTCACAAGGTGATCCTGGATTCAATGGTTTTCCTGGAACACCTGGACCTCCAGGTTCTCCTGGTAAGTAGAAGAAACACCTCAGTAAAACTTTAACAATAAGTACACCGTCTAAAATATTTAATTATATAAAAAAATACAGATTATGTGATATTATTTCTAAATTATTATTACAGATTAATAATCTCGCATGTAATGTATATGATCAATTTTTTAAACAACTCATATTCATATACAGTGAATTGGATGTACACAAATTAAGGTAGTATTTTGTCAATCCAAGCCTTCTCAATCTCCTCAAGAGGCCCATTTAGCATATTAAGCTTGTTTTGTGAGTTTACAGTACAATATTAAACAGAATAAGATGAGCTGGGCTGAAAGAGATTCAGTTTAGAGGTTGCTATACCTCATTTTAACAAGCTTTGGACGTGTGAGAGTGAATGGGTGTGCAAATTAATCTTTATATTTTGCCTGTGCTAACAGAACTTTTGACCTATTTGCAAGCCATTCCATTCAGAGAGAAATTGAGCAGGTGCAATTAAATCATAACAAGTCTTAACATCCATGTCTGAATCACCAAATCCTTTCACTTCTCTGCATGCTCTCATCTCTCTCTCTTAGTAATGGAATGGCATTGACACAGCCATGCACATGTTCCCCTTTTGATTTCTTTATTTGCACTGCTTTAACCGAATGTGTTGGAATTTTTGAGCTTTTTAATTCTCTACTAAAGGTACAAACATTTTCATGCTAATGCATTTGATTTTTTATTGATGCTGCCCGAATGAACTGATTCATCAATCGATTGATTGACAGCTTCTCTTGCAATCTCTCTTGCCCTTGCATAGTCCACTTCAAAAGGAGATATTTTATTTAACAGAAATCAATTTTCAAAAACTACAACGAATGACTACTTTGGACTACAACGCATATTTTCCGGGATTTGTGATATCACAAATACCGACGAATGGGACGAGACCCTGGTTGAGCTGCACTGGAGAAGGCAACGAGTGTTTTCACTATGTCGGAGACATGCTAGCTTTCCCAAGGCAGGCGAACTTGGAGTGGTTACAATCATCCGGGTTTAAATCGTGCTCAAATTGATTTGATTTTGACGCAATATTTATACTGAAGCTGGCAGCAGCTCTCCTATGGTAAGGAGACATTTCCCGAACAGGCGCCGAGTGCTGCCAATCACAACAAACACTGGCCCGGCTAACCAATCACAGCGCACACTGACCCAGCTAACCAATCACAGCGCACACTGGCCCAGCTAACCAATAACAAAATCAGGACTTTGTAAAAGAGCATAATAGGACCCCTTTAATGTAAAATGACAATAGTTAACATTAGTAAAACAGTCACATTGAGCACTCGACTGGTTCCTGTGGTCTTGTCCCAGTGGCCATCTAGGAGACAAGGTTTTTACTGGGGATCCGTCTCTGGGGCTCATCTAGTTGTCCTGATCTCCGCTGACATTCAGGGCTGTAGAGGTCATCTCTAAGTGCTGATCCACCATCTGGTCTGAATACGTACTGGATCCGGGTGACTGCAGTGACCATCTGATCTGGATACAGACTGGATCTGGTGACTACGGTGACCTCGGAATAAGAGAGAAACAGACGAATATTAGCGTAGATGCCATTCTTCTAACAATGTAGAAAGTACATCGCTTCTAGTAAGAACTCTAGCTGCTGCATTTTGGACCAGCTGGAGTTTGTTTATTAACCGTGCAGAACAACCACCCAATAAAGCATTACAATAATCTAACCTTGAGGTCATGAACGCGTGAATTAACGTTTCTGCATTTGACATTGAGAGCATAGGTCGTAGTTTAGATATATTTTTGAGATGGAAAAATGCAGTTTTACAAATACTAGAAACGTGGCTTTCAAAGGAAAGATTGCTATCAAATAGCACACCTAGGTTCCTAACTGATGACGAGGAATTAACAGAGCAGCCATCAAGTGTTAGACAGTGTTCTAGGTTATTACATGCAGAGTTTTTAGGTCCTATAATTAACACCTCTGTTTTTTCAGAAGTTTGCAGTAAGAAACTTACTAGCATTATTTCCAATATGTCCTGTTATGACCATGTAAAGCCAAAAAACACTTTTGCATCATACACCAATGGATGGACAAATCCAACAAAAGAGGTATTAATATAATATTTAATTAATGTAAGTACTTTAATTAAAAAGTAGAATAAGCTATTCTTCCTAACAAATAAGTTCAGTCAGGACCACTCTGTTTGATTAAGATTATTGTTGAGGTCCTGAACATTATTTTGGTGGCAGGCTTTGCTCTGAAGGGTTCAGATTCTAAGCTGTCCAGAAGCAAACCTCACTGAGGTTTGAAACCCCCCAACACAATGATGTAGTATGTTCAATTCTAAGATCAATCAGAAGTGGCGTGCCTTGATATTGAAAGGAGTAGCTCCTGTCTGTGAGACAGACTAAGGCAAGTGTGAGTACCTATGAACTTGTATATCTTATTTAATTGTAGTAATGCTGGCTGTCACGCCGTGGTCTGCCTGAACTACACTTAAGCTCCATACGTCACTCAAACTATATTTCTTTAATAAAAATATTTAAAGCCATGATCCGCACTCAACAAAAGTAGTCTTCTTTTTGCAATTTATTTTACATTAACGCAAAAAGAAGACTATTTTTGTTGAGTGTGGATCTTGGCTTTATATACTAAGTAATTTAACAGATTGACTCACCAAAATAAAATATTAAGTGACAAAAGAGCGCGATGCAAACAGCTTTTGTGGAACTGCATTTTAATAAAAATACAAACTACACATTACTTTAAACCCTCTGAAAAGCATTTTCATTGTATGTGTATTGTATGTGTTTTTATAAAGTATGGGATGAATTGAAATTATTTTCTGTAAAGCTTATTTAGAACACTATGAATTAAAAAGTGATATATGAGGAAAACTGAAAATTTTCTGTGGTAATCGACAGCATATGACAGATCTCCCATCAACATTAAAATGTGGTCCTATGTTTCAGTTTATACAGGAATATTTTGGAATCATTCTCATTGTCAGGACAGTTCATGAAATTGCTGGACTGCAATGCAATTGCATAGTTACAACAGTATATTCCCTCCTGTCCTTTTGCGTATCAGCCAACATTTACTGATCCTAGATATTCAGATACATTTTTTACTAACAATTAAAGCAGAGAACACACTACACGACTGTCATACCGATTATGAATGTAATTTGGTCTTGATGGTGATCGTGCCCAGTCAGTCAGGGCTCAGTCGCTGTTTGCAGTCGGCAGAAAAATCGCATAGTGTGTGGTGTCTAAAGATTATAATAGAATTCAAGAACCAGTCATTTTTTTTAAACGTGTTTAATATTTGCGAGATTGACTGACACCAGTAAGCTATATGCCGCTATGTAGTGAAGATGCGTTCACTGTCAAATGTCATTCAGCGTTCATTTTGTAAAAAAAAATATTTTTCTAGATTACACATCTTGTGCTTTATTTCTTGTCTTTATTTTATTTCATTTATGTTAACATCGCATGTTAAATGGTTTTAGACTGTTCGTTTTTTTCTGCAGTCGAAGAAAGCAAAATAGCCTACATTACGTCAGTGATTTCTCTCATTTTAAAGATATTTAAATATAATTTTTTATAAAGAATTTTTAAATCAACTTCATATCAAATAAGCTATTTTTCCTAACAAATTTAGTTCATAACGATTATATGAACATAACGAAATTACATAAATTTGATAAGAAATCACCAACATATATTATTTTATATGCATAGATTAATTATAGGCCTATATAATAGTTTTGTGTCAAATGGATAAGGAAATTACTTCTGTCAGAGTGCAGTGTTGACAGCTCCATTGGGAGTTTTAATGTTTACTGTAGACTAATATAATACAAATTTAAATACACAAATAGCATTTTATATGACTTTTGTTTCTGAATAAATGGAGCAGTAATGTTTTATTTCGTTCTAACCGGTAACTCTGGAACTGTAGGGAAAAAATTGCCTACTGTTTTTAATCAGAACCAATTCATTTTTAATCCCTTTCAGACAAACATTAGATAATGAATATATTATTGCTTGACTAAACGTTTAAAATTAGCACTAGAAATGTTATAATTAAGGAAATTAAACCGGTGTCTTAAAAGACATAACGAAATGTTTCTGTTCAAGCAATAATTCAAAAAAGGAGAAACATAGTGTCACGGTCTTGCTGTGCCAGAGAACAGGCAGGACGACGAGGATGCAGGATACACGGACACTTTAATAAATTCACAATAGGAGCACACGCACAGGGTAACATTCAAAATAACAGACAAACTGGAACACAATGGACAGGAACTGATATAGGGTGGCTAACGAGGGGCAGACAGGTGAGCACAATGGGTGATTAACTAATAATGAGAACAGGAACAACCAAATAAGGACACAGAGGGAGAAACCACAATCTACAGTCCACAGGGGTGTGACACATAGGACTTAATGTAGAAGAAAAAAATCAAGACATTGCTGTGGCATTTTTTAGCAACACCTACATAGCAGGAAAGCTATATTTTTATTAAGCACAAACTAAGAAATTAAAAACTAACCTTTAACGTTTCAGTAAGTATAAGCACTGGTGTTGTCCACTTTGTTGTCTTTGGTGGGGCGGGAGGAGCTGCAGGAGCGAGGGTAGAATCAGATATTGCATTTTTTTGTTTGTTTCTTTGTTTGTTTTTTGGTTTGGCAGAATTTGTCCAGTCATGACGTGCCAGTCGTTAAGTGTGTTGTGTAGTGGACTGAGTCAGTCATGTGCTCATCTCTGACTGTCAAAGACTAGAATCTGCTCCAGTCGATGGAAACAGTCTTTAAATGTGTTGAGTTCAGTCTTAGAATGTTTCAACTAGTCGTGTAGTGTGTCCCCAGCTTAACACAAACACCCATCTTTTAACACTTGGTTTGTCATGGTTAGTTGCAGGGAATGTGTGTGGAATGGGCCATCTTTGACTATTTTTATATGTTACTGACAATGATATGGGTGTCAACAGGAACACCACTGCCCTGCAGGATTCCTGGTGAACTTGGAGATCCAGGATACTTTGGAAATCCTGGGGTGCCAGGTAATTTAATTTCTAAAAGTATATTAAAGTCGAAAATTGTAGTAATTTAACTATAAAGAGTAATTTAACATTGAAATTGCTTTAACGTGTTCTTTAGCATGTTTGTGTGTATATAAAAATTAGGGCCAAAGGGTCAGCCTGGTTCCCCAGGAGTGAGCGGGCGCCCAGGGTTTGATGGGCCAAAGGGTGAGAGAGGAGAACCAGGCTCTGGAGGTCAGCCAGGAACTCAGGGTAAGATTACGGCCTCAAATGTGAATGGGTGCTCCATCTAACCACAAATTTTACACACCGTAATTGCTCAGCTTGTTTGGGCTAGCCATATATTTAAAACTATAATTCCAATTGCATTATAATGCATTAAATTGTATTAAGGTGCAGTCACATTTACCGTTGAATTTTGCATGCAAAATCCAGTAATTCCAATAGGAATCCTTGTGATTGGGAGTTTCGCAGGAGGGCAAAAAACTTACAAGTTTTGCTCATTTTCAAGTTGGTAACATAAAATCACCTTGTTGAGCAACATAAGTTTGAAATTGACTTCTGTGTAAGCAGTGCTTCTTACGTCTCTACGCTAAAGTGACAATGAACCCTTTTACGCTGCAATTTCACTAATATGACTGCACATTTTTTTAATTGGCTAACTTATGATTAGGTTTCCCCGGACCCAGAGGAGATCCAGGTTCACCAGGAACAACAAATGCTGGCTTACAAGGGCCTCCAGGAAGAGATGGTTTTCCAGGTTTGCCAGGAGCTAAGGGAGAACCCGGTGTGGTCCTTGGGGCCACCCCTGGAGGTCCAGGTTCTCCAGGGAGACCAGGAGAACCAGGAGACAAGGGTCAACCTGGTGCACGGGGTTTATCAGGGAGGCTTGGTAAGTTAGATGAGATGTTTTTTCAAATCTACTGCCAACATCATTAGCCCCAGCCATGTTAGACATTGTAAGTCATGCTAGATATCAAGCATTAGCACTAATGGATTCCTCCTTAGGTAATGATGGACGCAACGGTTTTCCTGGCATAAAGGGAGAACGAGGTGTGGATGGAATACCTGGTCCCATAGGTCCCCCGGGAGAAATCCCTCCTGGGGGTGTTCCTGGTCCCAGAGGGCCACCTGGAGCTCAGGGACCTCCAGGTAACCAAATCTAATCAATTTAGGTGGTTTATTTAATATTATGAGTGAGTATTTGTTCAACAAGAGCTGCTCTACCAGGAACAGTGTGTGAAAACCTTGTGAAGACTTACAGAAAACGTTTGACCTCTGTCATTGCCAACAAAGGGTATATAACAAAGTATTGAGATGAAATTTTGTTATTGACCAAATACTTATTTTCCACCATAATTTGCAAATAAATTCTTTAAAAATCCTACAATGTGATTTTCTGGATTTTTTTTTCTCTAATTTTGTCTCTCATAGTTGATGTATACCTATGATGAAAATTACAGGCCTCTCTCATCTTTTTAAGTGGGAGAACTTGTACAATTGGTGGCTGACTAAATACTTTTTTTCCCCACTGTATACTAGGGTAAACTCTACCTTGAGCTCTGCAGTAAGCAATTTTGTCGGTAAGACCTTTCACATAAAATATTTTTGTCAGATCTACTCAACTTCTAAGACTTTGTTATGATGCATCTTTTCTACAATCTATTTTATTCACCATTAATAACCTGGGTAGTTATAAGTGTTGGGTGATATCCTCTATAGTCATATCGTCCTATCGTCAGCCTGTGAGATCGCGATACATGATATTATCATGCTAATTTATTTAATTAATTACTTACTTGGATTCATAGACGGAGAGTGAACCAACTCCAGGGTAAGGCTAAAAGCAGCCTAATGTTAGTGTAATCTATTAACTACACATTATATCTTTTTAGTCAAATAGCATATGGATGTCATGTCATAAAATAAAATATTTTTAATATGAATGAATTTGTATTTAACAGGATAACAATTTAATAGAAACATTGTAAGTTACTAATTATAATGCTTACGTTTCCTCAGTTATTCAAACATCTGCAACAGAAAACGAGAAAATAATATTTACATTATCAAATAAAAGAGATGAAACGGTATGAAAATTTCTTATCACGGTTTTAGTAACCAAAATTATCATGTTATCAGTATTATGGTATTGTTAAAATGTGTTGGAAATTTTCAAAAAGTACTGACACATAAATAGTTTCACCAAGTTTTATATTTAAAATCAACAAATAAAATTACTTTTTGTTTGCATAAACACTAAAACAATAACATTACCAATTATTTTAAATGACAACATGACTGACAACAGTTTATCTAATAACGTACGAAATGTTCAAATAAAGCTTTGAAAAAGTTTCATAAAATGGTAAACCTAAAAAAAATAAAGAAAAGGGTTGTCAAAATGATTGAATGAAAATTGATTAATAAATGATTGTGTTTTATCTGCTCCATAAATAATTCTAGATACCTTATCCAAATTGTTTAAAAGGGTAGAATCCACATAAACCTGTTTTTCATCAACTGGTCAAAATTTACAACAGGGCATGCAAATTCAGTCCATTTTTTGGACAGACAAAAAATGCACACAGGCTGAATGTAAAGGTAACTCTGTAAATCCACTCTCTGACAGCAGGTGGCGCTTATGGAACAGCAGAATTAGAGCTGTTTCCCGTAACCTTCGTGGACAAAGCATTGCAATGAGAACACTTCTTTATTAGATATTACATGGAGTGAAGATGAAAACAAAATGCCATCGAATCTTTTCTGAAAACAGTAAGAACCTTCACATACGACAACGTTTTAGTGGCACGTAAAAAAATTATTAATATTTTTAAACACTTTAAAAAGATTAAACTTGTAATATTTTGAGAATAAAGTCAAAATTACAAGAATAAAGTCGTAGCAATACGAGAATAAAGTTGAAATATTTTGAGAATAAAGTCAAAATTACGAGAATTAAGTCGTAGCAATTACAAGATTAAAGTTATAATATTTTGAGAGTATAGCCTATGTTGCACAAGCAAATTGCCTGGATTGCGAGCACTGGGAGAAATTCTGCTGGCCTGGCAACTAATTTGAATATATGTGGGATTATTAGCAGAAATCATACCATGTGTCATATACTCACAGTCACAGGGACAGTATGCTTGGAAATAATATTTCACGTTTTCGAATGCATTCATTTGTAGTGCGCCAGCCACCCAATAATATAAGCTTTGTGCTTTTTGGTTCTTTTAATATAAAACAATATCTCAGCTTTCAAATTCTCTCAGTTTTATAGCAAAATACAAACAATATGTCTTACAATAATGTGTTTTCCACACTCTTTAATGTGGCATAACAGATCGATGTATTCGCCTCAGTTTAAGCGGCATGTGAATCAATCATCTTTTCATTACATTGAGACATTTGTTTCATTAAATTATACAGTTTTCTTTGTGTAAATTCCACCACCTAATCCGCAAAAACATCTATGGCGCCCAACAATTAATTCCTCACAATTATATAATTGAAAACAGCAATAAAACATTATAAAGGTTATAAACGTTGAAGTTATTGTTGTCTTTTCTGAGGTAAATAACGTTAAGTGACTATTCACAAGCTGTTTTGTTCATAGTATAATAAATGATTGGAAATATGTCTTCAAATCCATTCATTACTTTTAGCGTGCCAGCCACCCAATAATCGCTTTGTGCTTTGTTGCTTTGTTGCTTTTAATATAATACAGCTCAGCTTTCATGTTCTGTCAGTTTTATCACGAAATACAAATCACAAATGTGTTTTTCCTCTTTATTACAATTTATAGCATGATATAAACATGAAGGAACATCAGAAGGCATGAAAAGAAACAGTAGGCCTATAATTTAATGAAACGAATTATACATAATCGAAAAGATGATTGATTCACATGCTTTATTCTCGTAATATCGACTATATTCTCAAAATATTTCAACTTTATTCTCGTATTGCTACGACATTATTCCCGTAATTTCACATTTATTTTCAAAATATTATGACTTTATTCTTGTAATCTTAATCTCATAATACGCTGTCGTATTCAGAGGTACATTCATATAATTAATTCATTCATATATTCATTTGTATAATTCCCTTAGCACTCTTTTAAAGGGGTCATATGATGTTGCTAAAAAGAACATTATTTGGTGTAATGAAATGTGTTTATGCGGTGTAAAACACATTATTTTCCACATACTGTACATTATTGTTTCTCCTCTATGCCCCGCCTTTCTGAAACGCGTCGATTTTTACAAAGCTCATCGGCCTGAAAAGTGAGGTGTGCTCTGATTGGCCAGCTATCCAGTGCGTTGTGATTGGCCGAATACCTTAAGCGTGTGACGTAAATGTTACGCCCCTTACCATATTGTGATGCCCTGTCCGGCCGGAGCGACGAGACAAAAACATTAAAACCCATTATAAACGAGGCATTTGTTGCATCCAGTGGGGACATAATTACGGATTATAATGATTTCTACTGTCTTTTTACGTGTTGCGTTGCATCGCGCCGAATAAACATAAAACCATGTCTGCATTTGTGACCGGAGACACGGTGGGCTAGAGTGAGTGGAGGCAGGAGGCCTAGAGTGAGCGGAGGACGGCGGGCTTGAGAACGGCGCGGCTGGCGGATTCGATGAAGGAGCGGGGTTGCGGCAACCACATGTGAAGACCCCAGGCTGGACCCCGCTTCATCCACGGTGAAAGCCGATCCGGCGATCGACAGTGCGAAGTTGATGTATTTCCTCAGCGACCAGCACGGATCAGCTCCAGGCATGACGAAGCGGATATCGTCCTCTTTTGGGAGGCCAAACAAAGTAGTTTCGCTTTCACAACGAAACACACAGCGCCTTCACGACATGGCGGCGGTGGCAACAACAATACTACAGGGAGAATAAAAGTTACGCCTTCTTTCTTTGCGTGAATATTTGGGCGGCGTTACGCAAATCTTCCCACATAGTGACAGAGATATGTGGGGGCGTGTTAGAATGAGCCGTTTTAGGTAGGCGTGGCTGACTCTTAACTTTTATAAAGAATATCTCTTTGGATTTGAGACTTTAGTCTTTACAACTTTACAGATCTTCTTTATGCACCAAGAGCTTGTAAAACTCCAAAGAGAAAGGAAAAATTTAAATCGCATCATATGACCCCTTTAAAACCTCCCAGCATTTCTGCCATGTTTTCACACAAAATGAAACTACTCTGCGTGCGTACCTGAGACTGTCACTTAAAACTTAGCTTTATTCTGAATAGTATTTATTTATCCTGAGTTGATCAAATTGCGGTAATCGAATACGGTTTTAATGATAATTAAAATACGAAACGATAATACTAAACGTGGGGCATTTTATCATGATTTATCATAAAACCGGTAATCGTTTCATCCCTATCAAAGAACATCGTCACTGACTTCAGTCTTGCACAAGTTTATGCATTTTAAAAAACACTTCCATTATAATCAGTGAAGCTATCTACTCTTTATGATGAATAAATCTCTGATGAAAACATCTGCACTTTGTTCTTTATGATGAGAGAAGAAATCAGTCAGCGAGCGCACTGAACAACAATACTCCAGAGTTTCAATGATGACTCATCGGAATGTCTCTGATTGGCCGCTGCATTCATAAACTCAACGGAATCATGTGTGATTGGTTATAAATAATGCACAACACTGTAAAAATGCAGAAAAAGATTGATGGAACAAATAAGCCATAATATTAATTAGATAATAATACTAGCCTGATAATAATCAAGTCAAGTCTGCTTTATTGTCAATTCTTCCACATGTACAGCACATACACACAGAGAATTGAAATTGCGTTACTCTCAGACCCTTGGTGCATACAGATAACATAAATACAGATGGGCAAAGCACTTCATGAGGATGGGGGTAAGTGCAATTGGACGGTAGTCATTGAAGCAGGATGGAGACGACTTCTTCGGGACTGGAATGATGGTGGTAGCTTTGAAGCATGTGGGGACAACAGCCTGACTTAGCGAGATGTTGAAAATGTCTGTGAAGACATCGGTGAGTTCCACTGCACAGTCTCTCAGTACACGCCCAGGAATGTTGTCAGGACCCGGAGCTTTGCGTGCGTTGATCCTGCTGAGGGATCTCCTCATGCTGTCCGGGGACAGCATCATCACCTGGTCGCCGGGAGGAGGTGGAGTCTTCTGTGCAGTGGTGCTGTTTGTGCCTCAAAGCGAGCGAATAATAATAATAATAATAATCTCGCTATCATCAAAAGCATCAGCCACAGGTAATATCTCTGACTATCGTCGATACACAATACTAGTGTCTATTGGCACAACACTAGTTGTTATGGTTTTCTTTCAACTTTCATGTGAGTATTATGTTTTTACTACTGCAGATTTGAGTTGTGGTAAAATGTTTCACTGGATCTTTCTCTTCTCATCAGTCTTCGTCAGCCTGTGTTTACTGATCTGATCTTCCTCACAAAAATATCTGTTTTCGTTATTCTTTTCTCTATGGTCATCCTCCCCTTCTCTTTTTCCATCACCATATTTCCACCCTCCCGTCCTTCCATTTGTGGTGTCACCGTCTTCTATATTTGGTGGGTCACCTCACTAGGCTGCCAAGGTGAGAAATATTGTCCTCCCTGATGCCCTGATTTTGTGCTGATGTTCCTCTAACACACAATTCACACTCTTGCAATGCTTCCTCTTAATGCAATTGTCTTTACTTGTGTTTCCAGTCCTCTTAATTAAAGCACTGAGTGCCGGGGAGCATGTATTTTTTTCACCCTAAAATGAAAATTGTCATCATTTACTCACTCTCACCCTTGCTCCTAATCCATCTTCAAGATTTTTTTTTTAGTCAAACCTGACAGATTTCTGTCCTTCCATTAAATGTCCATTCCACCAAAATGTAGGTTTAATCCAAATCTTCTGTAGAGACACGATAGCTTTATATGCTTTTATACTTAAAAAGAATTTAATTATTTTATTTATATATTGTTTTATATGGATTGCTTTTACAATGTCTGTATGAACCTTTTGAACTATCAAAGATTTGGTATAAGAGACTTTTACCAAAGGGACATAAATCATTTGGGTTTCATTAAAAATATCTTAATTTGTTTCAAAGATGAAAAGAGTTTTATGAAGGTAAGTGATGACAGAATTAAAATTTTTTAGGTGTACTCTCCCTTCTAGGCATCTATTTCAAACTAGTAGAGTGATTTGTTCATGCTGACAATGCAGAATTCATGTTTATTTGAATCTGCAAAATGTTAATGTGTAATTTCTTGGATTGACCATATTTTGAAAAGAGTTCATCCATGGTCTTTTGTCACTGGAGTGGTATAAACTGTATTTCTCCATCTTTTTGTGTGTTTGTGTACCATGAAGCAGGCAGCACATAGAACACTCACACGTAAAAGATGACCTAAACTTGTGTGCTTAAGTACTAATCATCAGGTTCAATGGATTTGAGCAATCTAGCTTCTAATCTAACAATCTAGCCTCAGAACTTGCTCTAACCCTGATGTGCTTGTGTGCCTTTAACAAGAAACCCACCTCCTGGTAAAACAGCAGCATCTTTAGTTGGTAATGTCAACTTTAGTTAGTCATGAAAGTAATATTTCATGCTCCAACTGCTTGTACAAAGTCTAGATTTAGCCTTTACTTTGAACTGACATTACCACAAATTGTGGAATATGTTGTTCATCCAGAACGTTTACTACATATTTTTGTAATTTGTTAATGAACAGTGTTGCATTCATTAACATTTGTTTTGTTTTGTTTTTTCATTAATTACCTTTGTTCAAAGCACTGCATACTGTTTTTAAAGTATTTCGTTAGTGGGTAAGTGTGTTCACATGTTCAGTATTGTGAGCTTATGTACCATCTCATATAAAAAATATTAATGGAATCTATTTCAGTGAAATCCAAGTAATTTCTAGGCACTTTCAGAGCCAATCCCTATATTTTTAACTATTTTTTTCCTCCACAGGTTTTCCAGGGCTGAAGGGTGTGAGAGGAGATCCAGGACCTCCAGGGCCTGGTGGAATAAAGGGTATACCAGGACTTCCCGGCATCCCAGGGTCACAGGGATTTAGGGGACCTCCTGGACCTCCTGGAACCCCTGGCATTGGAACACGTCCAGGCATACCTGGAAGACCAGGAATAAAAGGTATGATATTGCAGAAAGAGCTTATTTTAAATTGATTTGATTTTCTTGAGTTGTATTACTGATATAAACTACTTTAGATTCATTTCTGGAGTCATTTTAACATGCTTCTACTATCTCTAAAACCACACTATTTAAATTTGTTATGCTGTGCTTTATTACAAAGACATCAAACAAGCATCTCGGAGATTGTTTCAAATAGCATAAAATAGTCTAATGAGCACATTTTACTTTTAATGATCATAATGTAGATATTTTGTTTTCTGTGTCCAAGGGGAGAAGGGGTCTCTTGGATTGTTGGGGTTCCCAGGATTACCTGGTTCTCCTGGAGTCCCAGGTGGCCCAGGTGTTAAAGGTTTACCTGGTTTCGCTGGGCAGGATGGCTTACCTGGGGGAACTGGATCAAGAGGAACCAAAGGTATATTGATGGCATTTGCAGGACATTTCATTGTTGGAATTTTTTGTAGTTAAGTGAAACCATAGAAGGCACTCAAAAAAGAATTTAGAACTTCAGAAAGAAGCAAGATATAAAATAGTTTATTGTAATTACATTTTAAAATGCACTGCAGTAATATAGTGCATACTACCGGTGATTTAATGAATATATGTTTGTGTTTTAAAGGGGAACGTGGTGCTCCTGGTCTTCCAGGACCCTCTTCTCCATTGCTTCCAGTAGAGCAGCTGGAACAGGGTGAAAAAGGTGACCCAGGAGGTGGTGGACTGCCTGGTTTCCCAGGACCAAGAGGTACAAAAAGTGGACAGACCATCCAATTAGACCTCAGTTCCTTCATTTCTAATGATGAATTCATGCTGTTTAGTGGCATCGAGGTGTTCATGGACCTGTGATGTTGAGCTGTAATGTAGAGTCATTCAATGGAATCTTTAATGACAAGCAAAGTTATTTTTTTCAGCTTGTGATAAAAGTGTGGGATTGTAATGATACTAAAGACCAGTCATTCTGTCATTAAAATCAAAGTGAAATAAAAACAAAATGTTTTTTCTCTTTTTAACAGGTGATAAGGGTTTTCCAGGGCTACCTGGACGTGAAGGCTTTCCTGGATCACCTGGTGTTGCAGACCAAGCAAAAGGTTTTCCTGGCCAGCCTGGACTCCCAGGTATTCCTGGCTCCTTTGGCTTTCCTGGTCCCAAAGGTTCATCTGGAGTTATGGGCTTCCCTGGCTTACCAGGCCTGAGGGTAAGCGTCCTGTATTCAGGCCACAAGTATAATTATGTAAAAAAGTGTACTATGCACTAGCAGTACTAATACTGTTATTGGCACCGGGTCTAATATGGTCTCAGAGTCTCATACTTGTACTTGTCAAAATGTTTTATACACAGAAAGATACATTGTCTTTTACTTTTTGTGTTGTCCTCCACTGCAGGGTGATGATGGTGTACCTGGGGTTCAAGGGTTCCCAGGCACTCCAGGACAGCCTGGTGGCAAAGGTGAGATCTCTGTGATTCTGTCAATGCCAAGTATAATAATAATAATTATTAATCCTTATTTCTGGCCTACACTACGTATGGCAAATGCAAGTAGTTGAATAGTAGGGTGATCTCCCTAAACATTGTCTTTAAGGTGAGAAAGGTGATTCATATGAATTATCTGGACCCCCTGGACAAAAGGGTGTGATTGGAAATCCTGGATTCCCAGGTGAGAGACACTTTTTCAGGCTCTTAGTATGTGTATGTTTTATAAACTCTTCTATTTTTTGTACTGTATTTCATTTTGTAATGTATATTCCAGTATGATTTTGTAAATAGATTTTTGTCTTTCATAACTAGGTGGTCCAGGACTTCCTGGTGATCCAGGGTTCCCTGGAGTCTTCGGATTCCAAGGCCAGAAAGGTTTTCCTGGAGAGCCGGGAGGACCAGGATTTGGTGGTATGTGGAAGTTTGGATCCACCCTTATGATTCTATTGAAATTATTTCGGATTTTACAATAGCAGCTCTCTTCTTTCCTAATGTCAATTTCATTTTATTGTTGTATTTGTTTATAGGCTCACCAGGCCTTCCAGGCATTAGGGGTCTCTCTGGCTATTCAGGACAGAAGGGGCGTGATGGAGATCCAGGCCGTCCTGGAACTCCAGGTTCATCAGGAGAGAAAGGTGAAACAAGAACTTGTACCAGTTTACTGTTAGATATTGCTAAAAACATGTTTTGCACCTGTAGTCATTCATCTTTTTACAAACCAGTAGAAACCAGCATGTTGCCATTTCTGAAATACCCTGCCTTAAATCTTACTTCAGGTTTTCCAGGATCACCTGGTTTAGATGGACTCAATGGTCTTCCAGGATCCAAGGGGCTGTCTGGAGTTCCAGGTACATTAATCAGATGAACCTTTGATTATAAGGTTCTTCATTGTGCTTTAAACATGTGCAAACTAGTGACTGCTCATTTATTTAACTTATGTCCTCAGGTGTGACTGAATGTGTTCAGCCTGGAGCTCCTGGTGGGAATGGCCTGAAGGGAGAGAGAGGCACATCACAGCCCGGAGCACTTGGGCGCCCTGGAGAAAAAGGATCCAGAGGAGACCCTGGTGAGGAGAATTCTATGTATGGACCACTCTTTAAAAATTAAAGCGGGAATCACACAAAAAAAGCAAGTAATTATGGAGTCATTGCTTCTCTGACCAGCTTTGTTTCTCTTTTATTTTCATACATGTGTTTAATGTTTTCAGGTGCCACTGGTTTGAGAGGCTTCCCTGGTAATCCAGGCCCCCCTGGCCCGCCTAGACCTTCTAATATCCCAGGTCCTCCCGGAGACCCTGGACTTCCAGGATTAGATGGACGAGAAGGTACAGGACATCTCTCTTCTCATTACTTTTATTGTTTCTCTAAGATAGAACTGATCCTTTCTAATATAACAAAAATATGCTTGATGTAGAGGGCTAGCAATTATCATTCCTTGTAGATCTGTTTCTCTTTGAGCGTGAACTTCACCTTTTGTAATAGCAGTTGCTCATAGTTCCTGTGATGCAGTGAAATCAGTTGAACTGGATAATTTGTAGGTCCCTTTGGCTCTCCTGGCCTACCTGGTCCACCAGGCCCTGGAACAGTCCAAGGAGACAGGGGAGATGCTGGACTTCCTGGGCGACCAGGAATACCAGGACCACGTGGAGACCCCGGTGGTTTTGGAGCCCCTGGATTACAAGGCAGTCCTGGTTTTAAAGGTGTTTTTTTTCTACTGCTTTAATATTTTTCTGTCTCTTTAACTGTGCTTCAATAGTTTATTCTTTGGAGTTTATTCATTTTTGTGCTCTCTGGATTTTCAAGGACAAAGAGGTGACCCTGGATTTAGTGGTGTACATGGACCACCAGGGTTACCTGGAGAACCAGGAGATTTTGGCAGGAATGGACCCAAAGGATTAAAGGGTCAGTAGGCATTTTGTATATTTAAAAAATTTAGCTAACAGTAATAAATCACGAGCATTCTTGAAACATCAGCTTTTGCTTATTGTCCTCTCAGGTTTTCCCGGTCTTAAGGGACTTCCAGGTGTTGTGATCCCACGTAACATAACCAGCAACATGCCGTTTGGGGAACGGGGCCCACCAGGTCTTGATGGGTCTTTTGGTCAGGTAGGAATTCCAGGCCTGCCAGGCAGTCCAGGAGTCCCAGGTGAGTGTTTTTTTAATTGTCTTTGCAGAAGGTAAGAAAAAAGTAAGAAATATGAAAATGAAAGTCTGATCAATTATTTATCTTTTAACTCCAATTTCAATTCCTCTGAAATTCCTCTAGGTCCCAAAGGACTCAGAGGGCCAGTGGGTAGACTTGGTCCTGTTGGTGCAGCTGGATCTCCTGGAACTTTTGGTGACCACGGACCTCTAGGAATCCAAGGACCCACAGGAACCCAAGGTACAAAGAGTGTCCTGCTACCTTTTACATCCTTTATTTTTGGAGCAGTAGTTCTCAAATGGTGGTTTTATATGGGTGCACTTAAGTTTTTCAGCCTGGTTCTTATAAGAGAACCTGGAGATTTGGTTTGGTCCTCACACTGCACATAGTGTAACCCATTAAATACAACTATACAATTTTTTTAATTGTGGTGTTAATATTGTTGCACTTTATTTATTTAGTTTTTTTAAAATAAAATAATAAAATAATAAAGTGTGATAATACTATTATATATATATATATTTTAAAAGGACTATTAAATACAAATACACTTATTTTATAGTAAACTTAAAAATAAAATGCTAATATTTACTTCTTTTTAAGTAAAGTAAGTTTATGTGCTTCCAGGTTTAGCGTTGCCGACTGATGCGCATCAGTGAATGAAATGTCAGTTTTGCATTGTGCTTTCAAAACGGCAGCGGGTAGCCTAGATTTATTTATCTATTCAGTTTGAATGGAAATATTATACAGTATTACAGTTTGTCGATCTAAAATGGTAATTGGTCATTAACAGCTGTCAACTGTCGGTACGCATATGCGCTGTCAGAATTTATTTACACAGTGCATCTTTTATTTTGGTCGCGCATGCGCACCTGCGTACCACTTATGCACCCCTGACATTTAAGTATCAGTTACACCTTTTTACAAAGGTGTGTTTGAACTCAGAATGTGACGTATCCCTGAAGGCTTTGATCTGTTTAATATACATGCAAAGTGTTCCATAAAATCCATTCTTTATGCCTCTTTCTATGCTGAGTTAAACTTTAACCCTTTCCTATACCAACTGTATGTGTGTGTGTGTGTATGTGTATGTTAGACCGGTTTAATGTGTTTATGTAGTATGTTAGACTAGTTTAAGTGTTTATGTTGTTAATAAAACCTTACTTGTATCACACTTGACGTGTTCATTGTTTACTCATAACCGGAGTCAATAATCATGCAGATTTATGTTACAAACTTATAGAATTGTACAGTAAGAAAGTTATTTCCTTTAACCAGGAAATTAACGTTCTTAGAATTGACAAGACGGTTGACCCTGAGTGGTCAGCTAAATATCTACAGTGGATCTAAAATATGAATAGTTAATTATAACTAGTTATGGTTAATTATTCATATTTCCCCATGAGCTGATTCGCTACAATATCATTGACATGTTTTTCTCTAATACACATTGGACACAATTACTGGCACCCATTTATTCAATGCTTTTTGAAACCTCCATTTGGCATAATAACAGCTCTGAGTTTTCTCCTATAATGCCTGATGAGGTTAGAGAGCACCTGACAAGAGATCAGAGACCATTCCTTCATCCAGAATCTCTCCAGACCCTTCAGATTCCCAGCTCCATGATAGTGCTTGTCCTCTTCAGTTCACCACACTCATTTTCTATAGGGTTCAGGTCAGGGAACTGGAATGGCCATAGCAGAAGCCATTTTTGTGTTGTTTTTAATGTTTGTTTTTGGATTATTGTCCGATTGGAAGATCCAAACATGGCCCATTATAATATTTCTAACAGAGTCAGTCACTTTTTGATTTTTTTTATCTGTTGGTATTTGATAGAATCAAATATGCCATGCATCTAAACAAGATGATTTTTTTTTTCTTTCTTGAAACCCTCCCAAACAACATGTGGTGTAGGTGCTGTTTGAATTTAAGGTTTTCTGACCCTGAGACTCAACTATTTTCTGCAATTCTCCAGCTGTGGTCCTTGGAGTCTTTAGCCACTCAAACTCTCCTCCTCACCGTGCATTAGGACGATATAGACACACGTCCTCTTCCAGGCAGATTTGTAAAATTTTCTGTTGATTGGAAATTCGTAATTATTGCCCTGATGGTGGAAATGGGAATTTTCACTGCTCTTTTAAAGTCACTTTCTAATTTGTGAAGCTCCATTATCTTTTGCTGCACATCAGAAATATATTCTTTGGTTTTTCTCATTGTGATGGATGATTAAGGGAATTTGGCCTTTGTTTTCCCTCCCATTTATATTCCTGTGAAACGGGAAGCCATGGCTGAATAATTTAATGTTCATAATCACCCTGGTATGCTCAAAACTGTAAATATGAATGGAAATATACTTCACAGACATTTTACTCATAAGAATTTCTAGGGTTGCCAATAATTGTGTCCAACGTGTATTTGAGAAAAACATTTATTTCATAATGAGATTTCCCCCTATTTTCAATTGTTTTAGTTCAATGAATGGTTAGATATTTGTGAATTTTTTTTTTAAATAAAAGATCAAAATGATTAATGCAGATTTATTTTCACAGCCTTCTTTGGTCATATTTACCAAGGGTGCCAATAATTCTGACCACGACTGTATATATGTGTGTGTATTTATATATATATATATATATAGAGAGAGAGACATTTATTTAAATACAACAAAATACTAACCATATTAAAAAGCTGTGTGAGCCATCAAACTTCATTAAAATTATTATTTATTCAGAAATTATTAGAAAGAAACTTTTATTCAGCAAGGATGCATTAAATTTATTAAAAGTGATAAAGACATTTATAATAAAACAGAAGATTTATATTTCAAATAAATGCTGTTTTTTTTCTTTTTACTTTCTATTCATCAAAGTATCCTGAAAAAAATGCATCATGGGTTCTAGAAAAATATTAAGCAGCAACTGTTTTCAGCATAATAATGATAACGGTTTCTTGAGCACCAACTCGACATTTGTACTGATTTTAATAAGTTCATATGACCATTTTTAGTTGTATTTTTGATCAAATAAATGCAGCCTTGGTGAGCATTAGAGACTTCTTTTAAAAAAAAACACACCCCAGATGTTTGAATTTTTGCAATATGTTAAAATTGTTTTTGCAATAAGTTTTTTTTTTTTTTGTAATAAACATTTTTGTGCAATAGACATTTTTGACCTTGTCTTCTTTGGATTTGGATTCTAAAGCAAAGCCAGATGAGAAACATTAATCTAGTATATTACTTTTGATCGGTTATTCTGCACTCATGTGCTTTGTGGTAACAGCTAAATTATTTTGATTATTTTCTATCAAATCATATTATTTAATATGAGTCAATCGCTGTAATCACATAGGATACACCCACAGAAGTAATTTTAGTGGTCCGATTAGGTAGACATTTCATTAACTGAATATTTATAAGCAGTGTTGGGAAGGTTACTTTGGGAATGTAATAGGTTACAGATTACAAGTTACCCTATTTAAAATTTAATAAGTAGTATAACTATTTTAATTGTTTTATTAATGTAATGCAACTGATTACATTTCATTACTTTTTGATTACTTTTCTAAATTTCTAACGAATGTTTTCAACTGTTAATCATTTTGAAACATTTAAAGAAGGCAGGGTTAACCTTACAGTGGGACTCAACACTGATTACTGTCAGGCTTTCAAAATCCTTCATCACTTGAATTTAGATTATATTAATTTAATTTTAAAGCACAGCCAGCTCAAAATCAGATTTTAGTAACTCTTTTTACTTTGAGATTGTTCTGAGGTTAAATACTGATTTAAAATCATAAGAAATAGTTTAATAGTTATGATACTGTTTTTGAAATCAAATCCTTGCATAGCTATGACAGGAAACACAGGCATCTAACAATGCCTTGGAAAAAAGTTAATCTTAAAAAAAGAAAGCATATACATAAACCCAAATAGGAAATAAAACAGTTATTGAATTAACGTGTCCTATTCTGTGTCCTAAACTCCTGAAACATCAGTGTCTCATTTTAAAGCAGTCAATGCAATTTGGGAAAGAAATCGATCAAATCTGAATGTGTGTGAAAATATTTCTCAGTAAAGGCCCTTGCACACAGAGTATGAAAGTTTCACTCATTAAAAAATAAATACGATCTCACGTTGTGTCAATCACGTTTACACACTGCCTCCAAAACTTTCGTCCGTCATAAAAAAATTCAGATCGGGTTTGATTTTCTGCGTTTTTCGCATTCATAGCAAGCATTTAGAGAAGTGTTTTGACAATTCAGAGCCACTGTACAAGCGAACGCCAAAATCCAGAATGGCGTCTGACAAGTTGATCCACTTCTTCTCCCTACACAAAGCACTGTATAGGTCCTTGCACACTGAGTTCATGGAAATTGATGGTCTTCTTTTTAATATGTGACTCCAGTATCGCTTGCAAAGCATCAAACTGAGCCACTGACATCCTGAAGTAAACTTTGAATCGCCAGGGATAATCCCGCAGCTCCTTGATAAGGAGGTGGCACTCTCCTTCGATTGGATGATGGATCCAATATTTCCTGTTTCTTTTTCTCTTTTTAAGAAGAGAGAGGACAACAAAATCATCCTCACTGTTTGAAGACTCCATTTTGTATTGTTTTGCAAATCTTTTCGCAACGGATTAATTCACATCGGACTCAGTGTGCAAGGCTTCTGTGCGTGACATTTTTAGGATGACGAATACGAAAAAACGCATACGAAAATTTCGGACTCAGTTACATTTATTTTGTAACTAAATTACGTAATTCAGTTACATGTAACTAGTTACTCCCCAACACTGTTTATAAGGTAGGAATTTCATTAACAGCATATTTTCAAGTGCGTAAGGTAACAATAGATTTCACTACAGTTTTCTGGGTTACATCTTTCACCCATTTCCTCTCTTCCCTTTTGTAACTGCCTTTCAAATTCTTACACTTTGACATATCTTCTACAGGAACCTGTGGCTCACCAGGAATGCAAGGTCTTCCTGGTCCACCGGCACGTAGTACCAGTATCGGTTATACTTTGGTGAAACACAGTCAGTCCAGCCAGGTGCCCATGTGTCCTCAAGGCATGTCCAAGCTGTGGGAGGGATACAGTTTGCTCTATGTGGAGGGCCAGGAGAAAGCACACAACCAGGACCTGGGTGAGACACTACGGTTGTTATTATAAGGGCTTTCAGTTGTTTACAAATTTTTATCATTCTGTTTTGGAATAGATAGATTTGGAATATTAATCGTTGTGGATCAGTTTATTGTGGACTGTGTAATATACACAAGTTCACTTGTATATACTGATAAGCTGACTTGCCTCAAGATAATGTTGTTAAAGTTGAATTCAAATGTTCTTGTCCTCACAGGATTGCCCGGCTCCTGCCTGCCGCATTTCAGCACCATCCCCTTCCTGTACTGCACAGTCAATGACATCTGCTACTACGCTAGTCGCAATGACAAATCCTATTGGCTGTCCACCACAGCACCCATTCCCATGATGCCTGTGGCAGAACAGCAGATATCTCAATACGTTAGCCGCTGCTCAGTGTGTGAGGCTCCATCTCAAGCAATTGCTATCCATAGCCAGGATCTCAACATACCGATCTGCCCTCCGGGTTGGAGAAGTCTGTGGATTGGTTACTCCTTCCTTATGGTACAATTGAGTTATACCTGAATGCACATGCACAATCACACATCACTGCAGATTCAGATCAACTGAGCTTACTATAGCTGTGTCTCATTTAGAAGGCTGTGTCCTCTGGAGGTCACATCCTCTGAAGGATACATATAGCGGAGTATCCTCAACCTAGAATTACACGAGACAGCCTTCGTAGGATAGGTGTAAAAGGAAAAAGGATGCATCACGTTGCTATGCCAACACATTTATAGTGTAGTTGTGCTGTCATGCTAGTTAAATGTACAATACCAGAGGGTTAAACAAATTAAAGGAGAGTTACAAGCTCTTGATGCATAAAGAAGATCTGTAAAGTTGCAAAGACTAAAGTCTCAAATCCAAAGATATATTCTTTATAAAAGTTAAGAGTCAACCACGCCTACCTAAAACGGCTCATTCTAACACCCCCCACATGTCTACGTCAATATGTGGAAATATTAGCATAATGTCGCCCAAATGTGCACGCAAAGAAAGAAGGCGCGGTTTCAGGAACAGCAGTAGTGTTGATGCAGCCATGTCAGGGAGACGCTGTGTATTTCAGTGCGAAAGCAAAACCACTCTATTTGGCCTTCCGGAAGTAGATCAATTAGGTATCATTGGTTAAGATTTATTTACAACAGAACAGCACAACCCAGATGTTCGAATTTGTGCAACGCATTTTATGGACGACAGTTTTTTGAACCTAGAAGAGTACAAGGCTGGCTGTGCA